CCGAGACTGCGGCGGCCCGCTCGCAGGGCAGCGCCGCTGGGCATCGCGACCAGACCCCCCCGCCCTCCACAATTGCTTCTCCTCGCCCCTCCGCCCGAACGGCACGGGCGCCGGCAGCTCCAGCGCAGAGGATTGCCGCGGTGCCCCCCCGGGGCGGGGGGCGTGCCATCCCTGTCCCAGGCGTCTCCTGCCGCGACTTCCTCAATGCCGACGGGGCCCTGGCCGCCGCAATCAAACGCGCGCAGAAGGTTGGCGGCGGGCCCAGCGCGGCCCGGGCCGCGTGCACTCGGCGCGGCGGGGGCAGCGGAGACCCCGGCCGACGCGGCGCCGCCTTCCATCGCAGCTTCCAACACCTTCTGGCCTCGTCGCCGCTCCGATTCTCGCGCGGCTGCGCCCCTACGACGGCGGGGTGGCCTGCTGGCCCCCGCCCTGGCCTGCCAGCCCTCCGTTTGCTTGGTTTTCAGGCCAGCGCGCGGTCCTCGCGGCAGCTCTGCCAGTGGTTTGACGCTACGAGCGTGTGCGCTCGGCAGCCTGCGCAAGAAGAAGCTCTGCCAGTGGGCCTGCTTCCTCGCCGCCCCCCCCCCACGGCCCTTGACCTTGGGACCTTGGGCCCCGGGGCCGCCCGCCCGGTGCCTAGCGGGGCCAGGTGGCATTCCTCGGTTGCTTGCTCTGCCACTTGGAATGTCAGCTTGACCTCGGAGCTTAGCCGCCCCGCTATCGCCCCCGCCCCCGCGCCAAGGGCGCGTGCCCGGCTGCCCGCGGGCTACCTGCCCCCAGCTGCTCCCCCGGCGCCGCCGCTGGCCTCCCGCCCCGGCGCCTGCCCCGCCGCCGCCTGGCCTTGCTCTGAGCGAGCAACCCCCCCCGCTTGTTTTTTGCGGTAGATCTATATATATATATATATATATGTGTGTGTGTGTGTTCCTTTCTTTCTTCCTTTATGTTTTATGTTCTCTCTCTATCTCTCTCTCCCTCTCTATCGCGATCTCATTTTCTTTCTCACTCTGTCTCTCTCTCTCTCTCTCTCTCTCTCTCTCTCTCTCTCTCGCTCTCCTTTTTTTTTTTTTTCTCTCTCTCTCTCTCTCTCTCTCTCTCTCTCTCTCTCGCTTTTTTATATAAAAAATAGCATTGTTGTGTTTTCCCTCTCTCTCTCTCTATCTTTTTTGTTTTTCTCTCTCTCTCTCTCTCTCTCTCTCTCGCTTTTTTATATAAAAAAATAGCATTTTTGTGTTTTCCCTGTCTCTCTCTCTATCTTTTTTGTTTTTCTCTCTCTCTCTCTCTCTCTCTCTCTCTCTCTCTCTCTCTCTCTTTCTCTCTCTCTCGCTCTCGCTCTCGCTCTCGCGCGCGCTGCGGCTTCATTTGCGTGTTTCGCGCTCCGTTAATGCCGCGTCGCCGGGGCGGCGCTCCTGCCCGGCCGCCGACGCAGGAAGCGCGCGCGCGGGGGCAGGCGGTTGCCCGAAGCCCTCCAGTCGTTGATTTGCCGTGGCCATCCGGCACTTCCTGGGCTTTCGCTAATCCAAGCAGAGAGCCAGCGCGCGGCATTCATGATCTGGGCAGAAAACGGATTGCCCATGTGGGCGGAGGCTTTGTCTCCACTGATGGCAGCGGCTTTTGCGCAGACGCGCCGCATCTCAGGGGCGCCGGGCGGTCGGCCCTCGCATGCTATCGCGAGAGAAGGTTGGCTGCGCAGTGCGTTCCCGCAAAAAGGTTCATCGCAGAAGTGGCGCAGGCATAGGGGCAGAGACGACGTTGAATCGGGCCCGGCGGGCCCGCCGCGTGAAGCGGCATCCGCCCGTCAATGTTGCGGAAGAACATCTCGCCTGCGTTGCGCGGTGCACGCCGGCTATCCGATTGCGGGATCGAAGTCGCGCGGCAGAGCGCGGGGCCGCCCGCGCCCGCGGCCTTTGAAGGACTAGCATGGAAGAGCGCCCCGGCATGAAAATGGCGTCCGCCCCCCAATGTCGCCGCCGGGCGCGCGAGCCAAAGTATGGCATATCAGTGGCCTGGCCCACGGTGCGCGGTTGCGCACGCTGCCAACATTGAATTGGCCTCTTTGGGCGGCGCCGTCTGCAGACCATTCAAGACGATTGTCTTGCCGATTTTCTTATAACTGTTTCCCGGCTGTGCACTGCGGGGCAGCGCCGCGCGTCGTGCCCCCGCAGCGCGCGGCGATGCGTGCAGGGGACTGGCGCGATGCCGATTGAGTCGCCAGGTTTTTGGTTCGTGCAAGGTGCTCTCGAACTGCGAGGGCGCGTCGTTGCGCTGCAGATCTCCAGCTCAGGCCGCAGGGGCAGCGAATCCCAGGGGCAATGTTTGGAGGACAACTGCTTCGACTGAATAAGTTCACAACTGGCAGTTCAAGCGTTTCAAGGGACATGCTGCGCGCGACGATGCGATCGAAGGTGTGCTCTCGGCGTTTGAGAAGGCATGGCAAATCCGCCGCTGGCGCTCTGGTGAAACGTGGGGCGGCCTTTCAGATATCTGGGGGTGATCGCGTGGATTTCGTGCGTGGTTGCGGGGGGGCGCGCGAGATGTTGTCGCAGTGCGTCGGGCGCCTGCAGCGCCTGCAGGCGTGGCTGTGCGATTCGAACCCAGGCGGCCTGGGCGGCCACTTCCCCGCGAAAGCAAATAAGGGGGAGAGTCCACCAGGCCCAACAGTGAATGGGCCGATGATGTTGCTCTCGAGGATGAGTTGCGTTGTCATCGGGGGCCATGGGAAACTGCCGACCGCTGCCTTGTCGAATGTCCTACGGTGGAGTTACTGGATTCGACCTTTTTGTGCGCGGCGCGTTGCCGATGCTGCCTTGGCTATCGCGACCGCCGCTGCCTGGCCCAGAAGTGCAGGGGCGGTCGTTGGGGGGGCCGTGAAGTGTAGAGCTCGAGGCGCTTCAAGAACCGTAGACATCCGCAGTGGGTGCTTCGCCGCCAGGGTTTGCCGCGCGCAGTTAAAAAATGGGAGCAGGAGTTCAAGTCTCACCGGGTCCAGGTCCCGCTAAGGAAGCAAAGGGTTCTCGATGCATCATAGACTCTGTCGGCATACGGGTTCGCGTACTCCGAGGCCCTGGAGCTGGGCCGTGCTGTCGATGATGGCGATGGTCTCGGGGGTCAGATGGAGCGACGTGGTGATGCGGTTTTTGATCTTCGCATCGGCATTGTCAAAGTGGTCGTGTTTTCAATCATGCCACACTGCGGGGTGTGACCGATAATGGTATCGTCAACCCGCTTATCGTTCAAATATTGTTAAATGCAGGTTCGTACGTCGCGGCAAATGTGGCACTTCGAGCGTTTTGGGGTTGCAGCTTAGGTGGCCCTTGAGCGTCCATGCGTTGGGTCTACCCAGCCTTGTTTTGCCGTGGGCGGCTCGGCCTTCAGCACCCGCCGATTTGCTGGACCGCCTGTGGTTCGGGTTTGTTGTCGGTGCTCTGGGCCGCGTGTGTTTCGTTTGCGCCCTCTTTTCCCTGGACCACCTGTGGGTCGGTTTCCACACCGAATCGCTTGAGCCGTGGCGGTGCTCCTCCACGGGACGGCGGGCTTCGAATTGGTGTTTCCGGGCCTGCCGCAGGCCCCTTGCTTCCTTGGCCCTGCCGCGGGCCGCTTGCTCGGGGTGCACAAGTGCCTCGTCCTTCCCCTCGGCGGTAGCAAGGCGGTTCTTGCCTTCGGGCTCCGTCGTGCTGGGGCTGGGGGCTTGGGGGTGGGCCTGGGGGGATTGCCTGCCCATCGCCTGCCTTTCGATCCGCTGCCCTCACGATTTCCGCTCGTTCGCTCCCCTTTTCCTCTCCCGCCCTTCCTCCCTCCCTCCCTCCCTCCCTCCCTCTCTCTGTCGGTTTGCCTTTTGCGACGCGGGCGCCCCCGCGTCCAGTTCTTGGGCCCTAGACGGGCAAAGGCCACGGCAAAGAGCAGGGATGTGAGGAAGAGGAGGAGGAGGAGGAGGAGGAGGAGGAGGAGGAGGAGGAGGAGGAGGAGGAGGAGGCGGAGGCGGAGGAGGAGGAGGAGGAGGAGGAGTTGCCTCTTGATGTCATTGCTCTTACCGACCATCACCTTGGTATGGATTGGGAGTGGGTTCGCCAGCTTAGCTCGGCGCACGCCGAGGCATTCCCTGTGTGGGGAAATGTGATTGAAACGCCTGTGCCAACTTGTGTGGCTGCGGACTGCCAAATCAATGGCCTGACCTCGTACAAAACTGTTAAAGCCTCAGGGGCCCATATTTCCCTCACCACCGTTCAATAGAATGCCCGCTCTACTTCTACACGCAAGTGTTGGGGGGCTCCAGGAAGAGTGCGGCGTGCCCGCAACAAAGCATTGCGCATGCAACTTGGTAACCTTGGGGCACATTTGGTTGGGGTTCAAGAGGCTAGGAATCCCAAGGGGACTCGATGTGCCGATGATTTTTGCATCTTTTCGTCGGGCTTCGGCCCAGAGTGTGATCAAGATGGGCTAGGGGTGGAACTGTGGGTCAACCGTCGCAGGCCTTACGCGGTAGTTGGCAAGAAGGAGTTGGTGCTTGCCCCAAGCCACGTGAAAGTTATGCATTCCTGCTCACGCATACTAGTAGCCCGTCTGCACTACATATGGTAATTGTTGTTGCCCATGCCCCCCACTCCAAGAAGCCCCCTACGGTTCAGAAGACATTCTGGGATACGTTCGGGGGCCTGTGCCAGGCCTGGAAACCACAGTTAGTTTTCCTGGACGCCAATGCTCGTGTGGGCTCGGTTGCTTCGAGTGCGGTCGGAACGGCAGGTTTTGCACAGCAGCAGGACGCCACCGGAGACACGCTGCATGAGAAAACACTTGAGGCTTCTCTAGCGCTTGTCAACACCTTTCTCCCTGATCCGGAGAGTGGCCATACATTCACCGAACATGGTGGCACACCACATCGGATCTATAAATTAGCTTTCCAAACGGTGTTGCACAACTGCAGGGTGGCCGCTGCGCGGCGAATCACGAGCACGTCCGTGCCGTCGCCGTGCCCGGCTCAAGCTCTTTTCGGCGGCAGAAGCCCGCCCATGACATTTGTGGCACAGGTCGGCCTCAGCTGGGCTACGAACCTTGTGGATCGCGCCTTCCCCTCGATCTCTGCGTTGGCGGCCAGCGCGGAGACCTGCTACCTGCTGGAGGGGCTCGGGGGGGTCAAGTCCCTGGGCCTCAGCGTGTTCGGCCTCGGTGGCGTGCTGGGCTGGCTGGTGGGCACGTGCGGGACCTATGTCTACTTGGGTGCGCGCCGGGGCCCGCATCGGCGTCCAGTGGAGAGCCGGCGAGGCCCTGTAGATCCGGTGCGTGCTGACAGACTGCGACGCAGCCGAGTACGAAGACATCTGCGGGGAGCCACCTCCAGCTCTGGCAGCGGCGGAGGGGAGACTGAAGTACTGCTTGAATCCCGACGGCGACGTCTACCCCCGCGCTCTGAAGTGTCCTCCTCTTCATTCTCTGACGGGCTTCGACGAGACGGGCCAGGAGCTGGTCGTATGTCGGGAAGGACAGCTGCGCGACGGAGTTCGTCGGATGCCGTCCCTCTACGGCTCGAACTGGTTCCCCAGCATCCGCGAGTACCAAGACGCGATGGAGTTCTGCGTCGACCCCCCGGGTCCGAACAGGCGCCTCGTGGGGAAGCAGGCTCTTGGGGACTCGGCGGCTGGACCGACAGCGAGTAGAGGAATGTCTCAGGGCACGGGCCAGCTCTCGGACCCAGGGGCCAACGTATGGATGTGCATCGAGGCGCCTTCCTCTGGGGGCAAAGGAATGCCCCTCGCCAGCGATCAGGCCGACGAGTGGGTTGCGATGGGCAAGGTCGTGATGTTCAAGCGCGGCACGGAGGTGCTCGTGGCCAAGCAGGTGCCGGCCGGCGAGGCCTCCGAGGGGCCCGACGCACGCACGCTCTCCGTGGTCCTTAGCCATGAGGGCGAGCGGCGTCGGGAGTTCGCCGCGGCGGTGCGCGGCATGACCGAGACTACGTGGGCCTTCTGGCCCCTGCGCGGGCCCCGGACAGTGCTCTGGTGTCTGCGATTCATCCTGCAGCAGGATCACTCGCCCAAGGCGAGACACGCACGTTGGAAGCACGAGTGCAACTTGTCGATCAGCGACGTCGGCGTTTCGGACCACGAGCTCTGCATGAGGCTCTTCGAGATCGGATCGTCCTACGACCAACTCAATTTACCAGGATTGGCCATCATGGAGTACGTGGCGCGCCGCGCCCAGATGGCCGAGTGGCGCTACCGCGACCGCATCCTCGGCCGCGGCGATGGCGACGAACTACTTGAGATGAATTTCTGTATCTCGGCACTGCCGAGACCCGCGGCCTCTTGATGGTATGTCCGCTTCTACAGGACCACGTGTCGGAGCAGTTGCACAAAGAGATGATGGCGACCAAGGAGCGGCGCAAGCTGCTTGAGGAGAGAGCCTTGACTGGCGGGGCCGCGGGCAACGCCGACGGGCGCCCCCTGCAGCAGAAGGTGAGCAACCAGTCGGCCGAGATCAAGCGGCTCATGGACAAGTTAAAGGCGGCTTGGGTGGCCGGCGACGGAGGACAAGATGGCGGCTCCGGCCCCAAGGGCCGGGGCCGGGGAAAATGACGGCCCTCGGCCCCGCGCCTCGTGAGCTGCTTCCAGCCACCGCCCCCGGCTTGCCTCTGAGACCTGAGTCGGCTATCTGCTGCAGGTCGGCGCGGCCCCGACAACGACAGGCCGCGGCGGTGGACAGCTGGACGTCCGAAGCGCTGCGTGCTCTGAATTCGCTCTACTCCAGGCCCTGGTGCGAGGCGCCTGAGGGCCAGTCGGCAGCCCAGGCTGCAGGCGTTCAACACCTTCGAGACTCTATAGTTTTGGCTGGACCCCCACCGTTCAGCGCGGCGGCAGCCCATCGCGAGCTGCGCCGGAACCTGCCCGGCTACTCAGAGTCAGAGCCAGTAGCCCGCTACCAGAAGGAGAAGCTCTCCTTGCCCTCCTCGGCGCCGCTGCGTGACCTCACTCCGGTGCTGGAGGGGGGTGCTCACCACTATTGGGTAGATTGGGATAGTCGGATCTTGCGTCGGGACCCGACGGGCATTGCAAAAATTAGACTTTACGTTGACGAGACGTTGCGAGGTGACCCTAGTCAGTATGCTGAATTCATTATCCTTTTGTTTGAGAAGAGCTTGGTGAACTTGACCACGCCTGCTTCCGCCACTGTTGGGCTCTTCTTTGTGCGCAAAGCTAATGGAGACTGCCGCGTCATCTTTGACGCGAGACAGGTTAACCAATACTTCGAGGCCCCCGAGTACGTTCAGCTTCCGACTGGATCGGCTTGGGCTCGCACGTCCATGGACGTCGACAAGGGGCTGCAAGTGTGCCAGATGGACGCGGAGAGCGCCTTCTACAGGATCCTGGCCCCGCGGGGGCTGGAGGAGTGGTGTCGTCTTCCTCGAGTGGATCTCCGAGAGGTCCGACGCCTGCGCCCAGAGCTGGCGCCGAGCGATCTCAAGGGGGCGTACGCCACTCCACAGCTGCTGGCCCTCGCCATGGGCTTCTCGTGGTCGTTGTACTTCTGCCGGGAGGCGGTGGGTGCCCGCGCTCGGGCCGCTAGCGCTCCCCGGCGGGACTTCGCGCGGGGCCGCCACGGGGGCCCGGAGCTGGAGAGCGGGCCCAAGGTGGCGGCGTGCGTCGACGGCGTGGCCGTCGTCAGCCAGGATCGGCACGCCGCCGTGGACCTTGGCAAGAAGAGGCTGGCCTCCCTCGAGGAGGGCGGGCTCCGCTGCAAGGGGCTCGAGGAGCCCGCGAGAGGGGTCAAGTTCACGGGCCTCGTCTTCGACCAGAAGGCCGGGGCCATCCGAGTGCCCTGCGAGCGCATGTGGCGCGTCAGGCTTGCCTTCCTCCACGTCTGCGACAGGGGGTGGGCCAGCGGGGGCGAGCTGATGGTTCTCGCGGGGCACTTCACGTGGGCTGCGCTTCTCCGGAGGCCACTCATGTCCATCCTGCCCTCTGTTTACAAGTTCTCTGAGTGGGCCGGGCCGCGCCGTCGGCGCCTCTGGCCGCAAGTGGAAGAGGAGTTGAGGATGGGTGCCGTTCTTATCGTGTTCGCCCAAATCCAGTGTCGTCGTTTCATCGATCCTGAAGTCCTTGCCACCGACGCCTCGACCGGAGGAGCTACTGGGAGCGGGGGATTCGGAGTCGCGTCTAGAAGATGGGAGGCCATCGACGTTGTCTCAGCCACTCGTGTTCCGGAGGCCTGGAGATTCTCAGTCGATGAGGCCATCACTGCCCGCCAGCATGTTCTCAGGACGGTCGGGGACTCTGCTTCTTCGAAGGCTGCTTTCGATAAGGCTGAACGCCGACGCCGCCGAGGTACCGCGTCGTTTACTCAGCTGACCGAGGTTGATGTCGGGGTGGAGGAGGATTGGAAGCTCTTGGTCAATTGTAAGGGTAGGTTCTGGGGCTCCGAGCACATCGGTCGACTCGAGGGACGGGAGCTACTTGTTGGAGTCCGTCAGCGAGCTAGGGCGTTGAGGTCTCGGGGTCCAGGATCCTGGTGCTAGTCGACAACCTCCCGGTCGTCCTGGCCTCGGGGAAGGGGCGCGCCGCGCCCCAGTCCATGAACCGCACGTGCCGCCAGCTGTGCGCCCTTAGTATCATGGGCGACCTCGACATCGTCGTTCGCTGGATACCCTCGTAGTTAAATCCCGCCGACCGGCCGTCTCGAATGCCGGGTCAGATTGTCCAGGGCCCCCGACTCGATCGGCGACATGCTGCGTTTCGACTCCAGGGCGCCTCTGTTGGTGCCGGGACTGTTCCAGGGCGTGCATCAGTTCCTCCTGGCCTGTATGCTGACGTAGCCAAGGCTCGGCTCAAGGACGCGATCGAGGATCTCGCTCTCGGCACTTCCGGCTGCGTGAGTCATGGAGGTCAGGAGCGGTCGGCTGGTCCGGCCGCCCTCGAGGGGCTTCCAGGCCTTCCACCCCGGCGAACGGGGAAGTGATGGGGGGCCGCCTGATGAGGCCTCGTGCTCCTCGAGCAGCTCCGACGGGGGTCTCCTGGATCCGTGGCCCGGGCCCCCCTCCGCGGACGTCGACCCCGACAGCTTGGACGACGACCTCATCGATCGGGGGGCGGGCCTCGGCTTTTACGACGTCCCGTCGGTCACCACCTCAGACGGGCCGCTCTGTGAGTCTTCGAGTGGCCCAACGAAGGGTGGCGAGGCGCGCGGCGAGCGCGCCGCTCGGCGACCTGGAGCCGAGCCACTTCACCTTCCTGCAGGCCCACCGCGTCAGGAGGGGGACCGCCCGGTACCTGACGAAGGAGCGGGAGGAGTTCCAGCAGTGGTGCTTGGAGCGGAGGCTGCCCGTCGAGCTGGGCGACCCGCTGGATCGGGCCGCGGCCCTGTACGCGGACTGGCTCTACTTCGCGGGCTACAACCACGAGCGCGGCGACAAGTTGCTGGCGTCCATCGGCTGGCACGACCCCCAGGCTGTCCGACACGGGCCAAGAGATTCGGTCCGACTTCGGGCGGCCCTGAAGGGGTTCCGCCGGCTGGCCAGAGGGTGCCCTCGCACCCCCATGCCGGAGCCGCTGCTGTTCGCGATCATCGGCGTCAGTCTCCACTTCGCCCCGCTGGAGTTCAGCATCGCTCTCGCGATAGCGTGGGACGGGGCGTTGCGGGTCCCGGTCGACCTGATGAGTATGACCGGCCGCAGCTTCGCGCCGCCTGCGGGCGAAAGCCCCAGCGGTTGCTGTGGCCTCCTCTTGTGCCCAGAGGACGGGGCTGGCCGCAGCAAGGTGGGCGGCCACGACGAAGGCATGCTCCTGGACTCCGCGGCGGCGCTGTCCATCGGCGGGGTGCTGCGGCGGCTCAAGGCCCAGACCGCGGACGACAGCAAGGTCTGGGGCTTCTCGGCGCACCAGTTCCGACAGTGGTTCAAGGCCGCAGCCGAGGCCATCAGTTGGCCGCGGCTTCGCCCGTACCAGATCCGCCACGGGTCGGCGGGTCACGACATTGTCCACAGACGGCGGACGCTGCCAGATGTCCAAGAGCGGCTTCGCCACGCCGCCGTCGCCAGCGCGGCCCGCTATCAGAAGCACACTCGTTACTTGGCCGAGCTCGGGAGGGTGTCGCGCGAGCTCAGGGACTTCGCGAGCGACGTGGAGACCCACTTCAGCGAGCTCGTGACCGGCCGAAGGCCCCCACCCGCCTGGGCCGGCGCCCCCAAGCGTCGGCGCGGCCAGCGGGGCGAGGTTCCGCTCTGAGAGGGGACCTGGTGCGGCGCGACGGCGACGTAGTCGCGCGCGTCGATCGCATCAGCGGGCCAGCTGTCTGGCGCTTGATGTCCAGGATCTTGCGCGAGGAGCTGTCTCGAGGGCTTCGTCACTCACAGGTATTTCTGGATGTCTTCTCTGGTGCTGGGAAGGTTGCCAATTCAATTTGTCGCATTTCAGATTTCGGTATTATCCCCATCGATCTCAACGGCCATGGATATGACAGACCCGAATTTGATCAAAAACCTGGTTGGATGGATCAGCAGCCGAATGGTTAGAGGAGTCATGGTCGCATTCCCGTGTGCGACGTGGTCGATGGCTTCTCATTTTCTTTATCGTAACCTTGAATTCTTGGACGGTCGACCGGGCTTGACTCCGGCGCAGCAGGCGATAGTGGATGCGGGCAACGCCACCTTCCGTGGGATGTTGCTCCTCTTGGCCGCTTGCTTGCGCGCTGGAGTCCCAGTGCTACTGGAGAACCCCGCATCGTCTATGGCTTGGTCTCGCCCCACGTTGTCTCCCTTGTTGGCGAGGCCGAGCTGCAGGACCTCAATCGTTGACATGTGCGCCTTCGGCAGCCCGTGGAGGAAGCCCACCAAGCTTGTGGGCTGGAACGTTCGTCTGCCCCCGCCTTCCATGCCCCGCCGATGCCAGGGGCGAGGGGGCCTATGCAGCTTCAGTCACATGCGACACGTTGAGCTCCAGGGCAAGATTCCAGGCACTAGCATCTGTCGGTCACGCCCGGCGGAGACCCACCCCTCTCGTTTCGCTCTAGGCCTGGCCAAATGGTTGGTTCAGTCCGCGGATGCGCTTGAACATGAGAGAATGTTGACTGTGGTTTCGAGATGATCATGGGCGGCTGCCAGGGTATCCAGAATGGAGATGAGTGCGCGCTTGGTACCAAGCTGTCGCGCGCGACCGTCGAGCCCAGCCCTTCCGTTCCACGCAGAGTGAAAGAGATGAAAAAGGTGAAGGCCCCAGTGGACCCCTGAGGCCCTGTGGCTCGGACCCTGCAGGTCTGAGCCCCTCTTTCAGTCTCAGTTGGTGGGGGGCATGTGTGCGTATATTCGCTTTCCAAGCGGTGTTGCACAACTGCAGGGTGGCCGCTGCGCGGCGAATCACGAGCACGTCCGTGCCGTCGCCGTGCTCGGCTCAAGCTCTTCCTCCTCCTCCTCTCCTCCCCCGCGTCTCTTTGTGAGTCTTGCTTGGAATTTCTGTGCGCGCGCCTTTCTCTTGCGCCGTCGACCGACAGCTGCAGATGGGGCGCGCGCTTGGTACCGAGTTGTTGTGCACGACCGTCGAGCCCAGCCCTTCCGTTCCACGCAGAGTGAAAGAGATGAAAAAGGCGAAGGCTCCAGTGGACCCCTGAGGCCCTGTGGCTCGGACCCTGCAGGTCTGAGCCCCTCTTTCAGTCTCAGTTGGTGGGGGGCATGTGTGCATTATATCATGGTCGATACTTCTATGCTCGCTTTTGCCAAGAGATCTGCAGTGCTGTATTCCTTTGACAATCTCATGACCACTCGTGACCACCATCCTTTGCAGGTTGACTTTCAATGGTCATGCGAGCCTTACCGAGTGAGGATACCACGGCGTCCCAGGCTAGATCCTCGGAAATTGGCTGACCCCAATCAGTGTCACCTTTTTGCTACCCAGGTTGACCGGTTTCTGTGGTTTCCCTGGGCTCTGGACATGAATGACCATTTGGATGAGCTGTCTGCCGCTATGCTAAGCTGTGCTAGCACATTCTTTGCCTATCCCACGCGCGCCCCCAGACAGCCCCATATTGCCGCTAAAGCCCTTGATATCATCAGTTGGCGTCGGGGGGCTATCCGTGCTCTACGCAAATGGCATACCGCCCCCAGGGCCATGTCCAATCCCCCCAGTGCCTCGGAGGAGAGCACGCACTCAGAGGGCTCTCATGTTGGGTGTTCTTCGGCATATGCCGAGCACCACTCCAGCGACAAGAGTGGTGGCGTTCCCGAGGGGAGCAGCGCGCCGACAGCCCAGCAGCATGCCCGTTCTCTCGCCTTTGCTTTGTTTCATTATGCCCAGCGGATCACGGCCGGTGATCTTTCGATTGCTCACGAAGAGCGATTCACCGACGCGGTGAAGAAAGTGGTGGCACCTCTCGTAGACGCAGCCAGGCAGCTGCGCAGGTTTCAGATGGCATCCCATCACTTCGCTGATTATGTTATGCACTTTCTCTTGCGCAGCAAGGAAGTGTTATCCAATGTACCCCATGAGGATAGCAATTGGCTTCTTGAGCACACAGCGGGGCAGATCACCATCTCTGCCGACGCTAGGATCCCGAAAGCCCAATGGCAGCATGTTGCCACACTGCTCGCTATGGGGGGCCGAAAAAAGGGTGCTTCACGGGCTCTGGACGCCCTGCCTATGATGGTTGCTCCTCCCACCCCCCCAAGAGGCTCGAGAGGCCCAATTAGCAGGCACCTTGGCGCCCGATCGAGTCCTCACATCACAGGCAGAGAGGGCTGATCATCTGCAGTCCCATTTCCAGGTGGTTGAGCTAGGACGAGCTGCTACCCTGAGTGAAGTTGCTCATGAGTTTAACTCCCTTCCTGAACTCATGAGAGTGGAGGCTGACAGAGAACCGCGCGTGCTACCCTCCGTTGTGGACGTCGAACATGTCATTAGAGGTGTCAAAGCTGGGAAGTCCCCTGGCCCAGATGGAGTTCCCGCTGACTTTTTTCGAGCTGCTCCACGTGCTATTGCCGCCGCGCTCTGCCATTTGCTCTGCAAGATTGCCCTTGCTGCTCGGGGGTCCATTGTGTTTAAAATGGGTGAAGTTTTTTTCTTTTACAACAGGTCGGGTCCTCCGCAGTTGGCCAGGGCCCAGCGTAATATCACCGTGGCTAGCACTATAGCTACGTTGT